TATATATATATATATATATATATATATATATATATATATATATATATATATATATATATATATACACTATATATATATATATATATATATATATATATTAATTAGACCCACTTAAACCACATTCGAATTATATATAAAATCTTAAAATTTGATAAATACTCAACAAATACTCACACATTTAATAAAATATTCAATTCATACAAATTTGATCAACTAATTCTCAAAACCAAAAGCAAACCGAAACAATAAAGAAATAACAGGATAAATTACACCTACACCCCTGAAGTATGTTAAAATAACTTTAAGGTCCCTGTAGTATTGATAATTACAGCCACACCCCTGAAACAATCACCGGAGCCAAGATTTCATGTTTTGGGGACCGATATTCACTATATTTGTTTCTTGCGGTGTCGTTAATGCTACCATAGACGAATTTTTTTAAATCCTATACAAAATAATAAGGATATAAGAAATGTTAGAAGAGTCATGTCACCCACTAGCTTTATGTTGTCTCGACCACTGCACGAAACTAACAGTCCGTTAGAATCTAACGGAATAACTTATCCGTTGCATTATTACGTTAGGGTCTCTTACAATGTTTCAGGAGGGTGATTGTAATTACCGATACTATAGGGACCTTAAAATTATTTTAACAGACCTCAGGGGTGTGAGTGTAATTTACCCTAAATAATAAATAAAGTTGACAAATTCAAAAAAAAAAAAAACCCAACTGTAATAACTCCAACACAGACCCCACCCCACCAGCTATACTACTGTATTATGCATCATACCCTCTCCTCCATTCTTCTTCTTCTTCTTCTTCTACTTAATGTATTGTTTGCCCACATTTTCTCTCTGAGTTTTTTTCTTTACAGAAGTTATACACACACATATAGATACAGAATTTGGAGATGATGAAAGAAAAGATTTTCAAACTACATAGGCACAAGTCATCATCATCATCATCATCATCATCGTTTACAGCTGGGAGTGATTTATCTGGACAGAAATTTGATTTCACTTTCTCCAATATTCAGGCTCTCCAGGTATATATGTGTGTAATAGTGTGTGTGTGTGTGTGTGTGTGTGTGTATGTATATATCTGTATCTATATTTTCTTGAAATTAAATATATATTATGATTGGGCAAGTTAATTTAATTTGTGTGTGTCATATTGGAAATTATGTTCACATGTCATATTATCAAGAACTGCTGCTAGCTCTGTAGTAACATGGGTTTGGTTTGATTTTTTCCGAGTTGTCTTTTTTTTTGTATTTATGTGGGGCTATTATTATATTTTATTCTATTATTTCTTGACAACAAAATCAAAATAGTGGGTGAAGAAGGGTTCAACCAAATTGTGAAAAGTAACAAGAAAATTGACTCTTAATAATCATAAAAAAGGGTAAATTACGGCCACTCTTGATGTGAGGTCAAATTACGAAAAAAAACCTGTATGTTTGGATAACTACAATTAGCTCCTAATTATGAATCTTCAATTTTTATACGTCCACCATTGTGGTGTCAAATTCAATAGAATCTTCTAAATTATGTGAAATGTTTTCTAGTTTGTATTCGTTTTGTGCAAAAATGCAGTTTATGATGCACCACAATCTGATATTTACAAGCCAAAGAAAACATCTTGTTTCAAAATGTGGAGCTCGAATGGGGGTAAAACAGTTACAAACTGGAGAATATTTCACATCATCTAGAAAATTTCACTAAATCTGACACCGCAAGGGTGAACGTGTAAGAAGATTCATAGTTGAGGGGGGGCTGATTGTAATTACACAAACGTGAGAGATTTTTTCGTAATTTCACCTCACCTCATGGGGTGACAGTAAACGAAAATGATTTCAATAGTGTTAGTTGAATGTAGAAAAAGGAAATGTTAATTATAGCCAAGAAATAATATTTTAATTTCTTGTTACTGCATTTGATGATCATGAGATGAGCCTAATTTCTATGTAATAAATCATTAAGCATAGCAAACATATATATTATACCCCTTTTGCAGGTACCTAAAGGATGGGACAAAATCTTTCTATCTCTCGTTTCTTACGAATCGGGAAAAACGGTTCGTAAATCGCAAAAAATGCCGGTGAAAAACGGAACTTGTCGATGGACAGAAACTCTTTCCGAATCAATATGGATTTCAGATCACAATAATAATATTGATAGCTCTAAAGATGTAGAAGAATTTCTTCTCAAATTTCTCGTCTCGACGGTGAGACAATATTTTGTATTTGTAATGTATGATTTATTCGAATTTCTTTTTTTATGCAAAAACATCAACTCGAAATTATTTGAATTTATTACAGGGGTCTTCGAGAAATGGCTCTACACTTGGAGAGACTACATTAAATCTTTCGGCCTTTCTAAGTTCGGAATCTCCGATTTTAGTTTCGTTACCTCTTCAAAAGTGCAATTATGGGACAATTCTACAGGTTTAAATTATTTATGTTAACAAGATTCTCCGCAACGTCGATTATTGCAAATTTGCCGTTTTCTTACATTATCGGAACTTGATATTAGTCTATTCCACTTGTTCGAAGATAACTTCATTTTTCCGATTTTCTTTGTTACTTTCGTAGGTTGAAGTTAGAAGCCTCACGCCGAAGAAGAATCTCAGGCTAGTCTCTATATAATAAATATCGATTGTGTTCGTATTCGTAAATAAATTATTTGCCTCCGTTTCGTATCTTGTTACACTCTGCTTATGAATATTTTTAAACAGGGACGAAAAATGGAACAACATGCATGCACGTAAAGACGAGCATGCAGAATTCATCGAAGATCGATCCGAAATATCCGATAGTAACAACTTCGACAATCCATCTCGTCCCGTCGAACTTAGTAGCAGGGTAAGATTACTCTCTCGTTTTTCGAAATTGTTCAAAATTAAATATATGAAGGTACTTACGAATCTCGTTTTTTCATCAGGAAACGAGTTTCTCGGCCTCGATTTCGCGTTACAGCTTCGACTCCGTTGAATCATCGAACGACACCGCATCTTATAGCTCGTATTCTTCTCCGCACCGTCCAATCAAATCATACCATTCGCTTCAAAACGGAAAACCGTTACATCAAAACGGTTATTCCCCCAAAGCGTTTAAAGAAGCCAACGAGGCGGAAGCAAGAATGTGGGAACAAAACGCGAGAAAATTATCCGTCGATTTGGAGATTTTAAGGAAAGAGTTGTCTGATCAAAAGGAGACGAACGAAAACTTGTCTTCGCAACTGAATAAAACTCAAGAATCGAATATCGAGTTGATTTCACTTCTTCAAGAAATGGAGAACAACTGCACAAGTGTAGAGCTCGAGGGTGAAATCTCGGTTCTCGAAAGTAAACTCGACGAAAAAATCATCGAGGCAGAAATCGAAAACGATGTAAGGAATCGGATTCTAAAGGAGTTTGTACTTGAATGTAACGCTTACGTGTTAGCTGCAAAATCGGATTCGAAACGAGTTGATCAGTTGCAGGAAAAAGTTACGGAACTCGAGAAAGATTGTGAAGAGCTCACGCAGGAAAATCTAGAGCTCGTATTCGAGCTCAAAGAATTGCGTAACAGTAATAATGCGTCGGAAGATAGCAACGTAGCATCTCGTGAAAAGCTAGAGCTTCTTCAGTCGCAAAGCTTTTCGTTTATCGATTTCAATCTCGATTTTCATGTCGAGAAAAGTCGTGAAAAATCAGAAATCGTCGGATTTCGGGATGAGAAAATGGATAGTGATGAAAAGGCAGAGATCGCGTTGTCTGATTGTTCGAGTACTTCAGTAAGCGATATGATTCGTCGAAGTGGAAGCATCGATTCGCATGTTTCGGACGATAATAATAATTATAATAATAAACACGGTGTAATGAAATTGACGGAGGCGGAAAGTAACGAAACCGAGCTAGCGGAGCACTTACGCGACATGCAGGAAGAGAATATCTACTTGTCGGAAAGAGTGTCCGGTTTGGAAGCTCAATTAAGATATCTAACCGACAAAACGGAGTCGAATCGAACGGAGATGCAGAATTCGGAATATCAAGTGAAGTTTCTCCATAGTCAAATCGAAAAATTGGAAGGAGAAATCGAGTCCCGAACGATCGACACGAAGAATAAATTGGAGGAGGTTGAGAAAAGGTTGTTTGAAGCTCAAGAAGAGTGTATATCTCTGAGCAAAATAAATACGAGGCTCGAGTCCACAACCGAACGCCTTATCGAAGAATACAACTCGATGCACAAGTTCAACGAAGAATTAAGGGAGCGAAAATCGAAGCTGCAAGACAGAGAATGCAGTGGTGAAGAAAACTCTATCCTACACATGCAAGTGCAGAAAGTAGTGGAGCTGCAAAACGAGGTTTTGGATTTACGGACGTCGGTTAAAGAAACGAACTTTCGGAATCAGTTTCTGAAAGCTTCGTTCGAGTCCGTGTCGAGAGAGAATGAAGAGCTTAAACGCGGAAGGGTTTCTATTCTCGGAAAGGTTTCTAGATTGGAGAAAGAATTATTACAAGCGCAGATTTGCGTGAGTAAGAAAAACGCAGTGGAAGAGAAGCTTCTAAGGCTAGAGGGAGATATGTTCGCGAGAGACGCCTTATCTGTCGATTACGCCGAGACGAAAAACGAGCTTAATCGGATTAAAATAGCGAATAGTCAATTCTTGATGAGAGTGAAAAGTCTCGAGAATGTGAGAGAAGATTTACAGAGGAGGATACAAATATTGGAAGAGGAAAACGAAAGCCTTGTTATGCAGCAAGTTCAGGTTAGTTTCGTCTTTTTCTTTCGCCTATGTGAAAAGCAATGTGTATTTATTCGATTTTTCGACAATTTTTTATTAACCTTCTTTTCTTTTTTAAGGTTTGTAATGAAAACGATTGTTGCAACAGAAGATCTCTTGTGGCTGCAATTGATTACGGGTCGAGAATTCAAGTTCTTGAGAATGAACTCGTCGAAGCTTTGCAGGCTAACGACATGTATAAAGCACAGCTTGAGAGGTAATGTATAAAATGACACATATTTTCTTTTTCCGCTCGTATTTAAACGACCAAGTTTAATTATCCGCCTACGTATATAATGTTGATAAGTTTGATTTAATTGTCTGGCAGCTGCGCAAAAAACGAAGGTGAGCTACAGGAAATTCGGGAGCGGTACCTAGAAATAAGCATGAAATACGCAGAGGTGGAGTCTCAAAGAGAACAGCTTGTGATGAAACTGAAAGCTCTCAATTGTTAGAATCTTGCTCAAAAACAGCTTCTGATATCAGCTTTTTTTTTTTTTACGACATTTTTTTAGTAACTCGGAAAGTTTAAGGAAGAAGCAAAAAGCTCAAAGTTGATGTTTGTAATACAAAGGATTAATCTTTGCCAAAGTGTGTGTGTATATATATATATGTGTGATGTGATTCTTTATAATCTAATGTAAAGAGATTTTTTTTTAAGAGCAGTACTAACCATTAAACACGCGACTTTTGTAACTAAAACACCGTTCGAACTATGAGAAACACTGTGAATATCGGACAGCAACATACAATCGATACAAAGAAGGGCGATCTTTTGCTATATTTCCTCTTGAAAAGAATTGATGTATATATATCGGAAGCAATTAGTGATGAATCGTTGTCCGATTAATACAATGCAATGTGTCCCCATATATATATTATATTTAATATATAACCATGAAAATAACGATAGACTAAACAAATCTACAGATAAGACGGAGGGAGATTCAGACGAGACAGAAAGTCGACAGCTCCACACTATCTTACCTCGACAGTAGTTTTAAACTGCGTTTACTTATTTTTATCTTCTTCTTCTTCTCTACATATCTTCTTTTTTCACAGTATGGAATATGCTCTAATCACCTCAACAATGGGCGCCCGGCACAATGGACACTTTCCCCCTCCACGTACCAACTCATTTGCACATTTTGAACATGTGCACATATGCCCACATCTAGAGAGAGAAAGGCAGATAGAGAGAGAGAGAGAGATCAGAACAAACGAAATTAAAAAAGATAAACCACACTTGCAAATAGGGTGACATCATCAGACGGATTCGATTCGAAGTAGCCATTTCGGAAAAAAAAACGATTTTTTTCAGAAGTAGAAAACTAATTCCAATTATGTTCTAAAATAAACTCAGGAAAATCGGAAATCAGAATATCGAAAATTGGAACGAAAAACTTGTTCCGAAAATTGGAAATTCTCGGATCGGAATTAGCGGAATTCGGAAAATTCCATTTTTTTAGTCACCTTAAAATATAAAATACATCATAATATTTCATATTATAAGTTTTAACTTTCGGAAATCGGAATCTCATATATCTTCCCATTCCAATCCAAAAAATTCGTAAAATTCAGAAATCGGATTTTCAAAATTCGGAATGGTAAATATTGTTCCAAAAACGGATCGGAGTCGGTGGAAATCGGAAATTCCATTCCAATTTCCACCCCTACTCGCAAAAATTAGCAATCGTACCTGTACAAAAGGGCATCAATTTGATTATCACAACAAACACAGCAGGTTCCTTTTCTAACATGACCCCATTTAGACCCATCTTCCGATGTCTCAGCTACAACTGCATGTACAAATATGAATATTATCGAAGGCCAGAGGTATAACAACGGTATACTTATCTGCCAAAAAGCTCAAATAAGATTTTTGCACGAGTGCCAAAAAAATAAATACCTTGTCCACCAGTTGATCGATTGAGAGCAGCAGAAACTTCCTGTCTAACAGATCGTTGGAGTTCGAGTTGCATGTCCATGCAGGCTTCTAGCATTCTCTGCATGTGATTCATACCTTGCTGAAGTTTCGCCACATCTGCTCGGAGATCGCTAACCATCTCCCAATCCTGCTGATTATCATTATCAATAAACCATTCAGTTAAATACATAATTGTACCACAATTCACGCACACTTCTAGAAGAGACGAAAATACCCTCAAAGAATCTAAGTGAAGAATATCTATAATGAAATAAAACAAGCAGTGCCATGTCATAGCTATATCAAAGTAGTAATATAAAAGTGTTTTTTAACACACACACACACACACATGGAGAGAGGGAGAGAGAGTTGACTTACAAGTTCCGAGCGATGTCCACTGTGACGTGACCACCCAGAGTGGTGCAGATCCTGATGCCAAAGGGGTTGTGGTGGAGGTACTGGAGGAGTAGGCAACACTAACGAAGGTCTACCATTAGCATTACGTTGTTCCTCATTCTGCTCATCGTTCTGTTGGTCCTGTTCCCTCCCAGGTGACGGTGGAATAGGCAAGTTCCTGTGGAGATCCCAATCAATAGAATCCCTCCCTCGCCTCTCCACATACGATTGAATCAAGTGATCCAGGCTTTCACGGAAACCACTACGAAGAAGATTCGAAACGCTCCTCCTATAATAAATAATACAATATGTCTAAGTAAGTCGATAAAAAAAAAATATAATACAAACACAGTGAGACGACTAACCTGCTCAATAGCTCCCTGAGTTCCATGCTGTACACATTATCGTCATCTGGTGGGTGGAATCGGGTGGCTCTCCTATGAGGAACTGATCGACGCATTCTTGGAGGGTCTGAAGGCCCTTCAGACCAATTGTCAACAGCTTCTCGTGAGCCATCCTCGTGCCAAACCTCATGGGCTTGTTGTTGTAGACGATGTTGCGGTGCATCCTCGATAACCACTGTTTCTGAGGGCCAAGCAGGTGCTACATTTTCCTGCCAAGTCTGTTCTGTGCCATCTGGTGACTGTTGTAGGTCTGCTCTCTCATCTTCAGTAACTTGTCCCTGCCAATTGCTTTCTTGATCAGGTGCAACGTATTGATTTGAACTTTGGGTAGCCATGGTTTCGTCTATATTCGCCGTGCGATCTGGTAATTGAACACCGATTTCATGATTCCCATGTTGCACCTCTTGCGAAGCATTTGTATTACTCTGATCATTGCTAGGACCACTGTTGCCACTGTTGGATGAGTTCTCAGGGTGGCTGCTTACCTGGCCACGAACGATAGTTTCCAATCTGAAGCGGAAGCCTTCCCTGAATGGAAGTAAACGGACACGCTTCATAATAAAATCACATAATATTTCCATAGATACTATATGGACACCAACCAAAAAGTCATTGTTGGTCGCTGTATTACTTGTTAAGGGGCAAACGCGAGGGGAACATTCAAAATGCAAGACTGAAATTCTTGTCATGGCATCCCTTTTTCCAAATTTATAGTTCTTATTTTCTCTACGTCATGCATGTTCCGAAATATAATCTTTCCTAAAATGGAAACTTTATTTCTTCAAAAGCACACCTTAAAGCAGTTCTGTAACACCAATTACTTCCAACCAGAATTTTCAGAGGCACAATTGTAAAGAAATTCATGCCGAGTCGACGAAAATATACAATTTTGAAATGAAGAGGGTATTTAGAATGGGGCAACAAGTATGAGATTGTTCCTAGATAAAAGTCTCACATAATTTCAATGTCAAATAGTAATAATACCAGGATATTCTAAAGAAGAGAGAAGCAGAAAACCAAATATGCAACTTTTTATCTATGAACATCCCCTCCAGTATTTAAAAATTCTAATCAACTATTTCAGAGGGAACTTCAATTTGGATTCCAAAGAAACAAAACAGAATTAAATAGAGAACAATAGGTTTGACAGATTTATCTGACTTTTTTTTTTAAAACACTTTTCTGGAAGGATGATAAGATGATTCTTTTTTAATCATCCAGGGTTCCAAGGTTCGTTTGACTGATCTTAAGAGAGGACGGTCATCTCCCCTAGTGCATCCTCCAAGAAAATCCAAATGAGATCACAAGCACACTTGAAAGACATTTGGGCTTTTATAGGTTAAAAAATGTGAAATACAATAATAATAGAAACCATTCTGCAACATAACTCTAAGCGTATTTAGTCTAAAAGGTAACAAGATTAACTGTAGCTGGAACAGAAAGTTTATCAATCCTTAAAATGGGTATATTCTTAAATGTTAAACCTATTTGGTCATTTAAACAAATCAGCTCGGTAGTAAAAAAAAAATCTATTTTGGCAGGGAGATCATGGTAAGAGTGTGAAAAACATCTTGGCTTAATAGTGGTATGGTTACTTTCTTGTAGTGCCAGAGTGTAATGCAATTGGTGTACCATTGTTTGTATGCCACAAGTGCAAACTAAACATCAGTTCTTCTATTTGAGAGTAAAGTAACTAATACGTGTAAGAGGATACTCCATATGCAAGGAGTTTGAGTGACAGAGAAATTGGAAATCAAACATGCAGTGGGATCAAGTAACACGCATATATTCATAAAAGATTGATAAACCTCATTCTGCACAAAACTAGGTTACGGGTAGAAATTATGTATTGACAATATAAAAATTTATTGCAGTACATCATGTAAAACTAGAGCAGTGAATCTTGTGCATTTAGCAAAAAACCAAGTACATACTTTCATAAATGATGGTCAATACATTCGCCAGCTTAAACATAACCATGAGTTATCCTGTTATATTTCTGATTTTCATCCCACTAACCTTTAAATTGTGCCAAACTTTCGAGGAATGAAGAGGACAAAAATAGTTTGTGCACTCAACTGTAAGCCATATACTATAAATTTCATATTGTCATAAACGTAAGTATACCTTACACCGGCAGGCAACAACTTATTGAATTCCAATCATATAAACTAGGAGTTTTCCTCGTATTTATTTGCTTGGCTCTTTAAGATGAATATCTCAAATCAATTAATTATCCTTATACGAATAAAGAAATGCGACTCGCATAAATAATCTCATTCCATCACTAGAATGGCTCATTAAAGCAAAAGACACTAGAACTGCGACGCGGAAAGACAAAAAATGAGAGAAAGGCAAATGGAAAAATGAAAGATAAAGTCTGCAGTAAAATACAGTTGCCATGTAGGACTGGGGAAATAGGCGTACCTCAAACCAGAGACCGTGTGACGCTGTCTTAACTGATTTAACTCACCAGCTGCCACTGATGGTGGTCTCTCTTCCTCAACAGGCCTCTCATTTCTTAGGAACCGGCCTCTAAGTAGTGACTGAAATATCAAAGATAAGTAAAATACCAATCTTCAGCAACAACAACAAATTAGAAGGCATTAGAATACAAAGAACCTACTAAATCATGTACCACGACTAAAAGTTCAATCTAACAAAATTAGCATAGCAATGAAGTATTTATTGAAAATTAAGATACAAGTCAACAAAGAAGAATATAATGAAATTTATTGACATCAAAACAAATTTAATGATAGTCAAAATGCATTACGTGGATATATCAAATATCAAGTTCCAAAATAAAATGGAAATGTGGAAAAACAAGAACCAAAAAGGTAACCTTTTTCATAAAACGAGAAAATTAATCTACACAGGTGAGTCGAACCTTCTCCTAATATAACCTATGGCTGGGGACTAAGAACTGTTTAGCATTATATGAACCATAATACCACAACCTTCGCTGAAATTTATCCAACAAAAACCATCAGTACCTTCCCATCTTCAAATTGTGAGCAACACACATTATATCTTGGTATTTGTAACTCTCAGATATGATCCATAACAATTTAAATATTATGTTCAGATACTTTACAAACCAGATTGAAGTTCAAGCATTCAAAAAATTTAGCACTCCTTAATGAATGATGGTATATGTTAAGATAAATAAACTTAAAAAAATTACCTGAATGCGGTTGCGATGTGCAAAATCAGAAACGGCGCGGTGTTCCAGCAAACCCTGAAGTTCTCCTTGCCTTTCCCTTTCAGCCCTTACGAGCAAGTCAAGCAGAGCTTGTCGTCCTCGTAACCTCAACATGTCCCTGCGTATATGCTCTGGCTGAGCTTCATCATGGTCAGTGGGCGACCCTTCACGAGCACGGTCAACTTGAACCTCAGGTTCATTATTCTGCTCTCCCCTCCGTGCAGCACGAGACCCTCTTTGCTGACTTGTCATTTGCATCCACTCCCTCACAATCCTCACCCTCTCACGCTCAGTTTCCCCAAGCCATTCAGCTCTAGGACTCTCATTCCTCTGCATAACATTAGATGAAGTATCACTAATACCACTCTCCATCCACCCACGAACAATCTGCCTCACCCTTTCCCTTTCAACATCTCCAAGGTCAGGTGATTGCTCCCGACTGGAATTTTCATGGTCTCTATTCTCATTTTGTGGGCTCAACCGATCATGGGACCAAGTAGCATAGTCATTCTCACTCTCGGCATCACCCAAGCTACCATGATTCTCGCCCTCCCTGCCTTCGGACATATTTACTGACGCGTTTGTATTAGAATCCACGCTTCTCCGATGCCTCAATCTCACCCTTACCCTCTCACGAGCACGGTTCAGTGCATGGTCATCCTCCAGCTCCCGCCACATCTGCAAAATGGATGAGGCCCTGGTGCTGGGCCTCTCGACATTCCCTTGATGCCTCGAAGTTGGGGACTGTGACGACTCCCTCAAGAAGGATGAATCGAGCATCGAAACAGTGTGCAAGCCAGCAAGTGCCATCAACTCCGACTCGCGGTTCCTTCTCTCGATCGTGGTAATCATCTCCTGTGCCTGACGGGCGGCCCACCTGCTCAGAATACGCGAGTGGCGCCTCCTAGCAGCAGAGGACTCCGCCAGGTCATCACCGTCGAGATCCGACCTCCTCCTCCTTCTGATGAGCTGTTCCCCTTCGTCCTCCTCTTCCTCGGTAGTAGTTGTTCTTGGCGAACTGCAGGAAGCAAAGGACATGTACTCGTCATAATGCCCGTGCATCAACTCTTCTAAGCCCCTCTCAAACTCCGAATGGGTGTCGTTGTTCTCCGTGCTCTCGGGTTTCTGCTGCAACTGTTGACGAACATCATCCATGTCTTACTGACCCCTAGAAAACCTATCACTTCCACGAACAAACTCAGTCCCCACGACAAAAAGTCCTAAAAATTCGAACTTTGTCCAAAAAGAGACACACAATCCATTTTCCCCCAAAATTATCAACAGCGCAAAACAATAACACGCGAAATCCAAATTCTACACTCGGAAAAGAAATCAAACCCTAGGGAAAAACACCAGAGTTTGGGATCGAAATATCTCAAAGAATAGTACTCTTCTAATCGATTGAAACCACCTGGTCGATGCATAATATCACCTGATTAAAAAAAAAAAAAAAAAGTGATTTTACCACAATTTCAGGGAAACACGACGCCGGATGAAGAAATACTGGAACGAAATTAAGATCCGAGAAACATAATCATACGAAATGAGGAAGGATCGTAGAAAGATAACGGCGATGTAAGACGGAATTCACAAAAATTGACTGGAGAAAAAAAAGGGAAACGTACCTCTGAAGCTGTATGCTCCTCGATTGCAGAGTGGGAATTGAGAACATAAAAGAAAACCTAACTTTTGACGTTATGATTATACATATGCATATGTGTGTGTGTGTGTGTGTGTGTATTTATAGTGTACAAATATCTGTGTTGTGTGTGTGTTGTTAATGTATTGCGAATTGAGAGAGAGAGAGAGAGAGAGAGAAGAGAGAGAGAGAGAGAAATGAAAACTAAAACTGTTGGAAAAATGAATTCAGGAGAGAGGAGAGAGAAGGGATGAAGAAGAAAAGGGAGGATGCATCAAAAGGTTAAAATATCATGCTCCATCATTTTTTCGTCATTTTTATTTATTTATTTTCATTTTTTTATTTTTTATTTTTTTATTTTTTATTTATTTCAGAAAAAGAGGGAGCGTGCGTGAGGAGCGCCAAATGTCATATTCTTTAATAATTTGGGTAAAATAGCACTTAAGCCCCCGGTTGTTACAAGTTTTTACAGATGACTCCCTTGTGCTCTTAATATCAGCACATAACTTCCATCGTGGTTAATAGGGGTAGTGTCCGTTACTTTTTCTGTCAAAAGAACTACATTTTTGCAGATCACCCCCTTGTATTTACATTTTTCTTTTAATTTTTGCAGATGGCCGTCACCCTTGAAGTTTGACTGTGCAGTTATGTTTGACAACAAGACTAACGGGCGTTACTTCTATTAATTATGAGAGGGTTATGAGCTGATATTACAAGCACAAAGGGGTCATCTGCAAGCTTGTAACCACAGGGGTGTTAAGGGTTATTTACTCAAAATAAGTGGATCATCTGCAAACACTTGTAATACAAGGAGTTAAGTGCTATTTACACTAATATTTTTACTATAATTATATCAATTTCAACGTACAAAATATGAAAATATTACGATAAACAATTGAAACTTGAGAATTGAGATTAATTTGGAGTTCATAATTTCTAACTTTAACGCATATTTATTTACCATTTTAGTCTATCATTAGTTTAAGAAAATTATTAATATAGTTTACGTATTATATTTTTCAATTTAAATTATTTTATGTTGTCCTCAAATTTAATAAGAGATTAATTGTAGAATGGTATTTCTTTACTTATAGTACAACATAAAATTTGATATGCAATATTTATCATTATATCTATATATTTTCGATTAGAAATGTTTTCACATAAATAAATGCAAACATTCGATCTACAATATATATTATATCATAATAATCATCAGTGTTTATATAATTGTTGGGAAATTACAAGAAGCGTTTTGGTGTTAGTTGTTGACATTGGAATGCCACGTGTCATTTTACATAATTTTATCTATAAAAAATAAAAAATGATTGGTCGAACGAAAATGAAATAAAATAATATTGTAGTACTTTTCAACAACCACATCAATAAAAATATTTCGATTTAATTATGGTAGATTATATGTGATTATTCGATGGTTGTTAGTCACAAGAATAGAAAGTGAAACCCCAAAATATCGATTATTGCTTGGCTATAAAATAGGTAGAGTTATTTATGTTAATAGTGAATAATAATAATAGTAAAAATAATTGTATTACAGTTAAATAAATCTCTATAAATTAATACAGTTCAGATCAGCAAAATTCTATTAATTTAGTAGAATATTATATTATTGATAAAGTAATAATTATTATTATTATTATTATTATTATTATTATTATTATTATTATTATTATTATTATTATTATTATTTTAAAATAAATTCAATAGAACTCATAAAGATAATGAAGTTGAACATGATAGTTTACGACATTGTTTCTGGGACTGATCGAAGCTCTTAAAACAACAACTATTTGTTCAGTTCGGACAAAATAAAAGCGGAAGTTCTTAATATTAAGAAAAGTGAGGAATGAAATTCAAGATGATGTCAACTTCAACAAGGAAAAAAAAACATATTTTGTTGTCTATTATAGAATTCAAAGATATGCCTAAATTTAGCGAATTGTTAATTTAGTACACTGTACCCGAGTCGGGACCGGATTAATTAATTATTTAAGCAACGTTACTGATTTATCGATGTTCTAATGTATTTGTTAATAGTTCAAAATAATTATCCATTGCATGCTCCAATCATCATTTCTTTTCATGGTTATAAATTATTCTAGTATCATTTAGCTGATAAAGACAAGTATGCTAAATTAAATAAATAGACAAGTTTGGTTATTCCATTAATTTTGCAGACCAGTTGTTATTTTTACTTTTTACTCCCAAACAGATTTTATTTTGATGTATCAACGAATTGTGTATTTAATCCCCTCCAATTGTACAATTAAAGTATCATAAAATTGTTTAATATTATCTTGATTAATCTTATAATTTTAAAAATCGAACGCGACCCCGATGGATAGATTTTGTCACTTTCTATACATTTTAATAAATTTTGAGCTAGTCTAGATATGAAACAAAGTTCAAATCATAAAATCAGTTTGGTTCTCTAAAAAAAAGTTGTTTTAAGTTTTTATTTAAAGTATCCATAGACCTGTTTTTTTTATTTAAGTAGATATTCCAGTATTGCAAATACCCCCAATTTTTAGAAATAAACATTTAATATCCATTTAACTCACAATCATTCACTTATGTTTTAAAAATAACTTTTACAAGCACCACCTTAAGTGACAAAATTGAAATCATGACTTTAAGTGTGCATAACTAGTGTATTAAAATGAACATTTATAAGACTAATTTTTTTTTTCAAATTAATGTCTTATTTAACTAGTTCATAATATCTGTCACTTTTGAGAAAAAAATTGTTTCATATTAATGTCACTTTAGAATTCCGATGTTGTATTAATTATATAATTTTCAATTATGTCATTATTAACTATCCGACAATCTCTTAGCATTAATTAGTAAACAAGGGTATTTTAGTCCAACAATATTTATTCTCCTAAAATCAAAACATACTTGTTGAATTTCTTAAGATTTGTGTAATAGTGAAAAACGACAACTATTTAAGAACGGAGGGAATATTACATTTGGTTATAATCATAATTAAAAATAAATGAGAATTATAGTTCCTAGAAGAGAATGAATATTTGAATATTGTTTACTCTTACACAAAATTGGGAGTTACACTATAATCAAACATGGTGTTATGCCCTTTTCTGATTTTGATATATGCCCCCCATAAAATGTATATATTCAATTTTTAGCCAACCACCAATTTCCACATATATATCATGATATTAGAGCAACTTCATAGAGAAATCAAATGAAGTATTAAATTTTTATCAAACAAAATAAAAAAAGATTATTAAATAATAATAAAACTAAACATTTTTAATGTAAAAAAAAAATACAAAATTCCTCGTTTTGTTCGTTACATTACATAACAAGAATCTATCAATAGGAATTAGATACTACAACTCGCCGTTATCTACACTGAGTGAATTTCAATCGTAGATCTATATATATATAATCACACGCTCATGTGTATGTGTATTTACTATTTAGTGAGTAATTTTTTAAATCAGATTTATTGTTGAAATCTACCTAATATAAATAACAAAGGTGCTGCATCTATTAATATAAATGGTCATTAATAAATGTTTCATAAATAATAAAAAAAGAGGTTCACATTATCCACAACATCATCATATATACATTTAACTGAATGTACGATAAATAAATTTGTCAGAAAACTCGTGTTCATATATACTCTGCCATCTCTATTATATACCTAATCAATTAACTGTCATCTTTTATATGTCTTTAACCTCAAATTCATTAATGCCCATGAATTATCAGCTCAAGGTTCATGGTTATTAATTGTAGCTCAAATACCTACTTTACTTTATATTAATACTTTCATTAATAATATTAATAATAATAATTATTATTATTAGACAGCTATATATATATATATATATATATATATATATATATATATATAGCACTTCACGCCTATGGTTACAAACATTTTTGTGCTCGTAATATCAACACATGCATAATTATCCCTTGTGGTTTATTGGGTAGCTTCCGTTAGTTTTTCCGTCAAACTTAACCGCGTATGTCAAACTTCAAAGGGGGTCATCTGCAAAAAACGAAAGCACAAGGAGATCATCTGTAAAAAAATTGCTTTGACGTTTGAGATTGATGGTAAAAAAATTAAAAAAATAAAATAAAAATAAAAATAAAAAGATTAGGTTAAGTTATATATAGTATAGAACTTTCATTATTCACCTGCATGCATGCATATGCCCTAAATCCAATGATATATAACTCACATGCATTTGCTTTGCAAGAAACTAATTAGCAAAACTCCATCTCTAAAGAATACAAGAAACATCTACTCACTTAAGTCAGAAGAAAGATTATATGGTAGCTTCTTTCTGAAACACAAATCACTTTTCCATGAATTAAGATTTTAGGGTTTCTACAAGATGGGTAATAAGATTGTATTCGAATCCTAAGTTGTTGATATGGTTTGTTCTTTCGAAGATAGGGCTCGAAAACGAGCGATGCTCGAATGTTACGATTGGTGGGGTCGGGTTATATATTAATGTTTAACGAACGATGTATTTTAGCCACATCTATATGTATGATTTTGTGTTGCCCTTTTGAATATTTGTTGTGATGTTCTTGTTGTTTTGTATTTGAAGCAATCCATAGACTAAATGACATTTATTTTATTTTATTTTTTTATTTTTTGACTAAATGACATTTACTTCATTAAATGACTCAAATTATGGCTTCTTTTTGAAAAATTACTACTTTATTAAATTTCTAGCAAAAAAAAAAAAGACAATTTTAACCTTGATTTTGTAGGAATGAGTAATGACTAGAAAAGAAAAGATAATTTTAACCTTAATTTTGTCGAATGTATTATCCGCTACACCTAGGGATAAAAGTCATGACGAAATTTTCAATTTTCACAGGTTTGGATACGAGAAGTTCCGATTTTGGAACAATTTTTTCACTCCAATTTCTGAATGTTCTGTATTTTTTTAGATTGGAATTATAAAAGAAAAATTAGAGAAAAAAAATTATTGGATTCAATTTCCGAAAATTCCGACCTTTTCTTTCAAAATATACACATATAACTTAATATATGTTGCATATAATTTATCTTACTTAGGTGGTGTTTGTAAAAAACTTATTTAAAAGAAGTTATGGATTGTGAGTTAAGCTGGTTTTTATAAGTGCTTATTTCTAAAAGTTGAAGGTGCTTGCAAATTTATTGGAAACTAAACTTAAATTAAAAAAGTAGAGTCGTTGGTACTTAACAAATTATAGCTTAAAATTACTTATTCTAAGAGAAGCTAAAGCTAAAATTCATTTTGCAAACATTTAGAAATAGATTATGAGTAAAAGAAAAACTCATAACCTATTTACAAAAGTTTTTACAAACACCACCTTAGTCCTTAGCGCAAAATAAATTAAATATTTAATTATATGTTTACTTTATGGGCCATGTTCGCGAGTCAATCTTTCATTTGCTAACACAATCGAAAAACTAACCGACCTCGATGCTAAACATATCGAGGCCTCAAACCAAAACTACAATATCTTTGACCGAAATCCAAACTTCCAATTGCGGTAATCTTTCGTTAGTCAAAATTCGCGTAACCATATCTGCAACTGTAGTAATCTTTCGTAATATTCTCGAATCAAAATAATGAATTAACGATGTACTCTTTGTGAATCAATTCCATTACCCGAAATCTAAATCCAACTATCTTATAAGAATCCTATAAAAACGATCATTTGCGCATAACTGACGTAACCGAAAGAACAAGAAAAAGAAAGAGAGAGAAAAGGATGAGTCTTGTTGTAGCTAAAAACTGCATTTCATTTATTATATTATCGTGCATATTCTTTCTCCAAGCTACGGCCATAGAAGAACAGAATTGTTTCCTTACCACAAAATACGAGGTCCGCATCACAAATTATCTTCCCATATGGTCAAATATCCCGATGAAAGTGCATTGTGCATCTGGGGATGACGATCTCGGTTACCATAAGCTGTATGTATCTAATGGTTTCAAATGGAATTTCTGCGATAATATTTGGGGGACTACTCTCTACTTTTGCCATTTCTGGTGGAATTCAAGACTCGGTCCAAAGGAGAAAAAGTTTGATGCTTTCACAGAAAAAATGTCTTCGAGATGCACAAATGGCGTGTGCAATTGGGAGGCAAGGCAAAACGGTATATATTTTAGTGGCTCCGGTAATCCAACGAGCTGGCAAAAAATGTATGATTGGGACAATGTAACTACAGTTTAGTTTATAATGGAACACTGTTCGGGGGAAGAACGTAATCCTTCTCAAAGACGTTGTAACCAAATAAAAATCGAGTAATGTGAATTTTACTCCAAATTAATTTCTCATGTCTTAACTTAGAACAAATACAAATAGCAGTAATTAAACCTCTATAAATTAATACAATCAGGACAAAATTCTATTAATTTAACGAAATATTAAATTATTGAACTAATAATTTAATGCATTTTCACCGAGTCCGGACTGTAAGAAATTATTATTTAAGCGATGTTATTAATTTATCGAGTATTAATTTATCAAGATTCTACTGAATTGTTTCTCTTGCCTCATACCAAAGAAGACAATGGCTTTGCTACCAACTTTTTGAACACACAAGACAATTGTATTCGGGATTCCAAAATCATATTTTTTTCTTTATTTTGCTTTTTCTAAAGTCAACTCTCTCTATTTCATTGGTCAAAAGTTTATGTAATCATATATGCAACCCGAGTCAACACCTATTGCATAAATTTAATTTATTACCCTAAATACAACATAATTTTTTTTTTTTTTGGTAGTACCTTTCATATTAATAATCAATTTCACTAGTTTTTAAGGAATACAACATGTGCTTCAGTGTTGTGCATGGCCAAACACAACACTAAGCACTAAGCAGCTCGACACAACGATACAGTAAAGGCCGATTTTCGTTCTCAATATTTTAACAAATATTTTAGTAGTCGTAACAATTTCTGCATTAGGTTAAGAAGCACTAAAATAGCTGTTCTACTTCATAATTAACGTTTTTACGTACCTATATCCCAAATTCAACTAACATGTCTCCGCAGTTTTCAGAGCCAACACGTCTCCTATTTATAAGCAGAAGTAGGGTAAAAAAATTATTTAGAAATCTCTCGACACTAACCTTTGCCTCTCGGTTTCAATTTCTGTAGTGTTTCAGGTTATCTATAGCGATTTATATGCCTTGAAACTGTACTCTTAGAATCAATAGGACGACAGTCATGGAAAACAAGAAGAGAGAGAGATTAGTAAAAGTGAGAATTCAAATAAACACAGAGCAGTAACTCATGCCAGAAGGAGTTCTAAAAACTTACCAACAGAGCAAATTCTTAATCGTAATTTTATTTTAGAAATAGCAAAAAAGCGAAATAAAATAAAATAAATACTTACAAGATGATGTCGCCTTACATTTGTTGGTTTTCCCAGTTTAACTAAAAGTTGCGTTACACATAACCCAACATATAATATTACAAACGACTAGCTTTATAGTAGATCGTTATATCTTAGATCTCACCTGTCCCAAGAGGCTGCCTAGAGGTGTCGCCAGAAGCCCAAGCTTCGTAATCTTTCATTAACTGAAAAATAGCATTTAAATTAGACGATTATAAAAATGTTACAGGATCCCAAAAAGACACAAATAGAAAAACTCAATTCTGTTATTCCTAGCCATGCAAGTTCGTAAATGCACAAATCTTCAACGAGAAAAAATACTGTTATTTACCCGACTAGTTTCAAATATCTACGTTCAGAAGTGCCTAAAGCTTTTAAGGAACACATTCATTCACTTCATACGAAACACAACGGCGGAAATGTACTCAGTATGTTGAGAGGATTTATTGCAAATTATTAATATTATTAAAAATTAACCTAAGCATCAAAAGTCTAGAAAATGGCAAAGATGGTAGGACTCGAGAAATTAAATAAAGAATTTATTACAAACAGATGACGAGCTGCCAATACTTCACAGACCTGAGACATGAACCGCGGAAGCATGGCCTTCAGTATCTGTTCTAGCACTTGGGAGCCAGTTGACTCAATGGCCTGTGTTGGAATTGCACGAAATGCGAACGGAATTTCAATGTTGACCTGAACACGACATAGTGACAGCATTACGTGATTTGAGTCGAATTATGTGAATGTGTGACATTACTAAAGAACTGAATAAGAGGTATCAATAAAATGAACTACCTCAATGACCGCATCTGAAGTCAACTTCTGAACCGACGAGTCACCTCTCGTGCTATCGCATGATATCTTATTCTCCATCGAAGCTGCATGCCCATACCAAATCAGTGTCAAAGGACTCCTGAAAAGAATTATATAGTAAAATTCAGAAACAAACGGCGCTAACTAGATGAACAGATCATGTTCTACGAACAGGAAACACGTATCCATTACGTACTAAAGGAATAACTGAAAGCATATATCATTATTCATGCCACCTAACATAATCATAAGTGTCGAGTTCTGTCATTAAAGAGCAAAAACCATTAAATCAGTTCGAGTGACTCTATGCGGGAGAGTTAACTAATCATATTAGACAAGTGTGCATTTGGTTCCACACACCTTAATATCTGAAAATGTTCATTACTGGAGAATCAAGCATTACTTCAAAAAAAAATCCTCAGTCCTCCTACCATGTGCGTATAGAGCGTATCAATTGAGTGAGAATTCAGTTACCAAACTGGTAAAGAGCACACACGTGCACTAGTAGTGCAACAGCAATGCTAGAGAAGCTATAAATTTGGTGTGAAGATTCTGATAGCAAGTAGCTTTCCTGGACGTGTACTTGGTGAAGGAGAAACAAAGGAATCATGTACGAGACCGAGAAGAAAAAAGAAGATAGCAGGAGGATTGCATGTTAGGCGAACTCAGTAGGATGAGAGAGGAGGTTTCGGAAGGCAGATGACAACATGAGTTTTCATATATCAAAGTTTCTTATAAGAAGCATCTTAATAACATAGTCCTTACAGGGTAAAGAATTAACATTTCAGTTACAGTATAAATATAATTCTGTAAACATAGGCACTCGGGTGTGTAAAATAGGGGTGTAAATTGTAATCGAGCTAGAAATCAAGACGAGCTCAGCTCAAACTCTAGCACGAATATATAGATGAGCATGAGCTCGGTCTTGATTTTTAAATTACTACACACATATACATTGTATTCGTCATTCTATACTCCTTATATTGTATGTATAAAAGGAAAATTTAAAACGCTCACGAGCTAGCTTGTGAGCTTTGAACAATTGGAAATTAGCTCGAGCTCATGAGCACGAGTTCGAGCTTTTGTTGAGGGCTTACGAGGCCTATGAGTCATATCAACTCATTACACCCCTAGTGGAAAATGACTAGATAAGAGAAAAATCAAGAACCCCTGGAGCAACTTGCATGGAAAGTATAACCTATAAGACTCCCGTATAAGTTATTTAAAGCCAAGAATATTTGCCTTGCATTCAATTTTGACAAGACCATACAAAGTTCTAACCAAGGACAGTAAAATTTGCACTTTAAACTCATAAAATCAAAGGGCTTAATGAAATCAGGCAGTATATTGAGTAGTGAAAATTGATGCTATGGACGAATCAAGTGATAAGATTGAGAAATCATATGTAATACTCAACAGTATAAAAAGTCAAGGAACCAAATAATGGGGTCTCCCTAGCCGAATGAGAATAAATTTAAAGGCTAGAGGAATCTTAAAAAAAATCAATCAACATGTAAGGTTAGGAAGTAACATTAGTAAGTAAAATTATCTTCCGAAAAAGACCATGGTTATTCTATTGCATCTCTGAAAACAAGCTTTATCTTTTGTTATTGTTGCAGTTGTTGTGAGCGCATGTGTTTTGTTTTATTTCATTTATTTTATTCTTTTACTATTAATGAAGCAATAGTTCTATATAGAGCTATAAGATTCTAGAATCTGAAAATTGGCATATAGGAACCATGTTTAAGCTATTATGATGAAAACCTATATAACTTACAATATAACATCATATGCAATTAAAAACTAAAACGTTCTTAGCAAAGATCGTAAAGTAAATTCACTAGAAGTTACGAAATACAATACAAGGGAAGATGCTAACCATCAAATTTGTCATTCTGAGCAACGACAATCGGGGAGCCCTCGAGCTGCAATTAGAAAAAAAACATAACAATCTTCATTTTAGCATCGTCTATTTGTTTATCCGTTTACTTGCATTGGGGAAAAAAAAAACGATTGCTTCTATGCTACTCTACGATCACAATTCACATAATTCAATACCGCTTACGGACAAACAAGGTCTCTAAATACGCGGCGCGAAAAATGAGGCGAGAGTGATCCGTACCTTACAAGACAAGAGCTTAATGCAGCAACCATTCGGCTGCTCCTCGACTCTCACCAACAAAACCGGACAAACTTCAAAAGCGAAAAACTTGAACCGATACACATAACACCTGAAGGTGCTGTCATCAATTCGTTCTATCCTCTCCGCATCCAACACCGAGTACTGACTCGCCGGCAAACTCATATACTCAACTGAAACAAAAAATAATAATAATAAATAAAATCAATACCACCAGAAAAAGTTCACACAGCAAAATAAAATTCGGTTACAATGAAACAATATATTACTCAGGGGGCGTTGGAGCTGACGAACGGAGACGGATTCAGTTCGCCGGGCCACGAATCGGGCTTTGGGGGAGGAATCGGCGGAGATGCGGCGGGGGGACTTGGCGGAGTCGTCTGAGGAGGAGGCTAAGTTCGACAATACAAAGATGTAGGGAGATCTTCTAGAATTTCTGAACGGTGTTCTAGGGTTTCTGAAGTGGAGTATAGTTGGATTGGAGCTCAACGACGCCATTGTTACTCTGTATAATTAAAAAATAAATATAAAAACAAAAAACTGTTGTAATTATATTTATTTTTAGGGCAAATTACAAACACCCCTGAGGTATGGTCAATTTACGTAAAAACCCCATTTGTTTGGATAATTACATCTATCCATCAACTATGATATTTTCTTACATCTCCACCCTTATGGTGTCAAATTCAACATAATCATCTAGATTTCGTGGAATGTACTCTAGTTTGTACTCGTTTAGAGTAAAAATACAGTTTCTGATGCACCATAATTTGATATATACAAGCCATTACGATCATCTTGTTTCAAAATGTGGAGTTTGAATGGGATAAAACGGGTACAAAAGTTATAATATTCCATATAATCTCGAAGATTCTACTAAATTTGAAACCGCAAGGATGGACGTATAAGAAGATTTGTAGTTAAGGGGATTTTTTGTAATTATCTAAACATAAGGGGTATTTTTGTAATTTAATCATACATTCCTATTTATTTATTGAATAAATTGGAAATTGTGTGCGGCGACTTTAGATTTGTGAATGGCGGAAATGGAGAGGAGGAGGAGGTTGTGGTGTATGATAAGTCCACGAGTGCGGGATGCGACGTTCAGGCGCAGGTTAGTGGAAACTCCATATAGGTGGCTAAAAGGCGCTGGGATGAGAATTTTGTGGGCAACTTAAAAAAATCAAGATTATATCACCTAGATAATATAGGCCAGTTATTTTATTTATGTGGTTGAAAATGGCACTCTTTAACATTACATTTTATGGTGTTAAATTTTTATGGTTGAGAATCACTTTTAATATAGCCTTTATTTACTAAGGTCCGGTTTCTCTACCTATATCGGATTATATTAGATTAGGTGATATTGGATTAATATTCCACTGACTAATTAATTATTTAGTCAGTAAGATGTTTGATTCGTTAAATTAAATCTTGTATTAAATTTGTTAAATTCTGATATTAAATGTGAATAGTCTAAAAAGTTTTTTTAATTAACAAAATTAATATATTATTTAAAGAAAATTGTACTTTCTTCCTTTAATCACCCCTGCAAAATTAATCGAGAGGGGGAGGGTTGCTACTAGTTTAACCAAATAATAGCATTTAATTGCGAACTTTAAATTAGTAGCGAGTTTGACTAAGGGTGTTTGGCTAAGTTTATTTTAAACAGCTGATAAGTTCTTACGTTTGACAAGTTGTTTTTTGAGCTAATAAGCTGTTACATCTTATTTTTAAGATTAATTTTTAGAGTGTTTGGATAATGAGCTTATTTCATATTTTTACACATTATAAGATCTTAAATTAAAAGATGGGGTAGAGGTACTTATTTAAAAATATCTTATTTGCTTTCCAACAGCTTATTTTTTTAAAAAATTAAGATCTTTTTATAAAAAAATACCAAACACTTTTGAAGAGCTTATAAGCTCTAAACCATCTTATAAGCTCCTTTAACATCTTATAAGCTTAGAGGGTGTTTGGCTAAGCTTATTTTAAACAGCTGATAAGCTCTTACGTCTGATAAGATGTTTTTAGAGCTCATAAGAGCCCGTTTGGCTAAGCTTATTTAAAACATCTTATAAGCTCCTACATCTGATAAGATGTTTTAGGAGCTGATAAGCTGTTAGATCTTATTTGAAAAATTATTTTTTAAGGTGTTTGGATATTAGCTTATAAGTTACTTTTTGTTTTTATAAGTTGTTCAGGTGTTTGGAAATAAAAGGTCTGTTTATTGCTATAATGACAAAAAAGTACATGATGCCAGTATAATTGTTAAACTTATTTGACTCAAATACTTTTGTTCCTAAAATATTATTATAATATTTATAAATTATTTTTTCAAATAATAATAATAATAATATTAAATTATATAATAATATAAAATAAAAGTTGTAAAAGAAATATAATTTTTTTTAGATGAAAGAAATATAATTTATTATGGAGATAATAAGAATATTCGTGTATTTTTATATACATATAAAATATAAATAGAGAATATTTTTTTTACAATTATTATGATAATTACGATAATTATATTTAACTAATTATTAATCTTGATTACAAGAATACGTTGTTTTGATAAAATATAAATATTATTAGTATTCATGTAATATAATAAAATATTTGAGGGTAATTTTGTATTTTAAGTGTTTTAGTAAATAAGCAAATAAGATCTTAAAGAAAAAAGGTGGGGTAGAGGTACTTTTTTAAAAACATCTTATAAGCTCCCTAACAGCTTATTTTTTGAAAAAATAAGATCTTTTGCAATTTTTTTACCAAACACCTTTTAACAACTTATAAGCTCCTTAACATCTTATAAGATGTTTTTAGGAGCTTATAAGCTTAGCCAAACGGGCTCCTTTAAGCTCTTATAAGCTCCTTTAACATCTTATAAGCTTAGAGGGTGTTTGGCTAAGCTTATTTTAAACAGCTGATAAGCTCTTACGTCTGATAAGATGTTTTTAGAGCTCATAAGTTGTTACATCTTATTTTTAAGATTTATTTTTAGAGTGTTTGGATAATGAGCTTATTTCTTATTTTTACTCATTATAAGATCTTAAATAAAAAGGTGGGGGTAGAGGTATTTTTATAAAAAGATCTTATTTGCTCTCCAACAGCTTATTTAAAAAAAAAAAGATATTTTAAAAAAAAAATTACCAAACACTTTGGAAGAGCTTATAAGTTCTAAGACATCTTATAAGCTCCTTTTAACATCTTATAAGCTTAGCCAAACACCTTCTTAGCCAAAAACCCTCTAAATACGAATCTCATTAACCAAACATCTTACTAACCCCTACTATTTAGTTAATAAAGCTTAATAGTTTTTTCTCAAAAAAAAAAAAAAAAAGCTTAATAGCACTAAGCAAACGAGGGCGTAACGAAAATTAAATATAAATATTTATATAAAAAATTCCAGTTGACGAGATTCAACCATGACACAATAGGTAATTCAAATCAATAGCCTGCCAATTTTCAAAACATTACAAAAAAATTCATACAAAATCATATTCTAAAAATATCATCCTAATTTGGCTTGTCATAAGTCCATTTAAAAGAGTATACAAGAAAATATGTTAAAAAAGGCAGTGTAAGAACCATCCGCGCAACAACTACCATAAAAGTTCAGTCAATTGATCGGAGTCGATGTAAAATAAAAAAAACTCAACTAATCGGAGGCGCCACCACTTTTAAAAGTTTATCAACTAAATCAAGTCAATTAATTGAAATTTCGACGACTCGTCAACTAAATGAAATCAATTAATAAAAATTCCGACGACTAGCCGCTGACAGCTAGTGACAAAAGATCGTTGGTTGCACATAATGTTTTATTAACTAAATCAAGTCACCTAATCAGAAGTCACTAACTGGAGTCTATTAGTCACCTAAATTCTAACCCCATTTGGATTAAAATTGGTAAAAAGGTGGAATAAAACCCCCATAAACAGTGAGGGGGCTATATGCAATAATCTCTTTCTTTAAGAGCGTGCTCGCCAAATATAATATTTTTTAGGGTCTAAAATGCTATTTATCCCGTTTTAGTTTTGGAATAAATATAAGTTGAGAAATTATTACCAGAGGACCCAGTTTCCGTCTCCAACGCACAAAAATCAGATGACGAACCCTAATGTGATATTATACAAGGCGCCGCCCCAATTCATGGTCCGCCGCCGCCGCCGCCGCCGGCGGCGGCCACGAATTGGGCTATTATTCCCGATCTAACCGTTAGCTCATTCAATCGATTCACCTATAGGTTTTTTTCTTTTTACTATATTTCATACTAGGTTTCAATTTCTGCCCTTTATACGCAAAATTAGTAATGCAGATTATTTTTTCATCCGTTGATAGATCGGAGGTCCAAGCGGCGCGTGAGGATTGAAGATTGAGTGCCGTTTCCGTTGACATTCTTCGCTTCTTTTTCCCACACATCATCCAGGACAAAGCAAAATCTTTTGGTATAGTTTTTTGTTTGACTATGGATCCAGGTGTTTAGATCTTCTAAAATTAGTTTCTATAGTGTTTTTTTTTTTCAAATTTTATTTTATGTGTTTATCAGTTGTTATTCGCAGAATTAAGTTAATAATTGAAGTGAGATAGTTGAAACAAGAGGTTATAATAGATGTTGCCTACTATCGAATCGGATTATTTGTTGTTTCTATTGCAAAATGCCGATTTAATGGTATTCGTACTTCAAATATCGAGTAGTTTTTCACTTTGAACAAACTCTTAAAAGAAAAAAAAGATAGTTTCTTTTGTTAGAAACTTCGAAACCTTTAATTTCTCGTGCTATGTTGAATATTTGACTGTGCGAATTTTCACGTTGGACTTACGAAAGCTGACTGAAAGGTGTATGCTAATATGTCCTTGGTGGTGTGTGGAAGAAGACGCAAAGAATATGGACGATTGGGTCGAAGTCAAGATGGCAGGGGATATCAAGTTAATTTTGTCCCGGTTTTTTGATAATAAAAAAGGAAAGTGAGTATTTAAACTTCTTATTTCAGCGTGGAACATTCTAGATTAATTCATAACAGTTTCTTGGTTAAAATCATATTGATATCCTAGTTAATTAGATCCCGATTGGCTAAGCTTATTTTGAACAGATGATAAACTGAGCTGATAAGTTGTTACGTCGTATTTTTAAAATTAATTTCTGAAGTGTTTGGACAATAAGCATATAAGCTATTTTTAATGTTTTTAAGATCTTATATAAAAACATGGGGCATTTTTTCTTTAAAAAAAAAAGACTCTCTAGCAGCTTGTTTTTTTAATTTGTAAGATCGTTTTGATATTTTTTTTACCAAATACTTATGAAGAACTTATAAGCTTAGCCAAACACCCTCTTAATCTTGTTTTCTAGACATTCATTTGCGTTATCTTGGTCTTTTACATTCGTGATGTATTTATTTGGATGCGTGTTGTGTACATCAAATACTTAATGAGGAAAACAGTATGGCGGATCCTTTTGCCCGTTTGGACTGCCCAGCTTTATATAGCTGCTGGTGGTCCAAATTTACGGCCTGGACATGAATTTTGCCTTGCTCATCTGAAGCTAATCGCGTAAGCAATACACATGATGTATTTTTCTTCGATTTGTTAAATCTTTTTCGTATAGTGAGTTCAATCTAGTGACGGAAAAAACAGATTTCAAGTGATGGGAACTTTAGTACACTAAATTCGTTACGTAGCGTAACAGACAGGAGAAAGGAAAATGATGAATTTCGACAGGTACTGATGATGGGCTTGAAATGTCGTCTTCGGTGTTTCTCTAGGTGCTGCCAATTTTTTTATTATAATTGTGCTTGTGCCGAACATCTAAGATATGAATAGTCAGTCCCTTGATTGCAATACGGATTGTTGGCTGATTCCTCTCCACCCAAATTTTAGATTGATGTATTAATTTACTTTTAAAAGATTTTTGCAACTTCTAATTGCTACTTAATAGCTTCCGAAATTTTTGTCACTGCTGTTACTTATTCGAACTTGCTTTGACGAAAAAAAAAATTTAAAAACCCTTCCGTTCTGTTTCCATATGATACTTTTGCTTGTGATCGACTGATCGTATTTGTATTGATTTGTTTATGGATACGAACATGTGGAGCAGGTTGTGAAAAATTATTTTGTTTCACATTTAAAGCAACGAGGTAAGTGCAGCTGCATGAAGGAATTTGTAAGAACTTAACTCTCTAATGAAGACGACTGTAAATCGTAGGGCAAATTGCGGCCACCCCTGGTAACCCCAAATTACGGAAAGTGAGTAGTTAAACTTCTTATTTCAGGTTGAAATATTCTAGTTTAAATTTGTAACGATTTCTTGGTAGAATCACACTGACGTCATAGTTCACCGAGTTTTGATTGTAATTAGAGCCCGTTTGGCTAAGCTTGTTTTAAACAGATGATAAACTGATAAGTTATTTTAAGAGCTGATAAGTTGTTAGGTCTTATTTTTAGAATTAATTTCTGAAGTTTTTGGGTAATAAGCTTATAAGCTATTTTTAATGTTTTTAAGATCTTAAATAAAAATGTGGGGTATTTTTTCTTTAAAAAAGAAAAGAGACTCTAGCAACTTGTTTTTTGAATTTTTAAGATCATGTTGATTTTTTTTTTTACCAAATTCTTATGAAGAACTTATAAGTTATAAGCTTAGCCGAGCACCCTCTTAATCTTGTTTTCTAGACATTCATTTGTGTTATCTTGGTCCTTTTCATTTGTGACGTATCTCACTGGATGCGTGTTGTGTACATGAAATACTTCATGAGGAAAACAGTATGGCGGATCCTTTTGCCCATTTGGACTGCCCAGCTTTATATAGCTGCTGGTGGTCCAAATTTATGGCTCGGACATGAATTTTGCCTTGCTCATCTGAAGCTAAATCATGTAAGCAATACACATGATGTATTTTTTTTTCGATTTGTTAAAACTTTTTCGTATAGTGAGTTCAATCGAATGGCAGAAAAAACAGATTTCAAGTGATGGAACTTTAGTACACTAAATTCGTTATCTAAGACGGGAGAAAGGAAAATGATGAATTTCGACAGGTACTGATGATGGGCTTGAAACGTTGTCTTAGGTGTTTCTGTAGGTGCTGCCAATTTTTTTATTATTATTGTGCTTGTGCCGAACATCTAAGATATGAATAGTCAGCCCCTTGATTGCAATACGGATTGTTGGCTGATTCCTCTCTACCCAAATGTTGGATTGATGTGTTAATTTACTTTTAAAAGATTTTTGCAACTTCTAATTGCTACTTAATAGCTTCCGAAATTTTTGTCACTGCTGTTACTTATTCGAACTTGCTTTGACAAAAAAAAATAAAAATTAAAAACCCTTCCGTTCTGTTTCCATATGATACTTTTGCTTGTGATCGACTGATCGTATTTGTATTGATTTGTTTATGGATATGAACATGTGGAGCAGGTTGTGAAAAATTACTTTGTTTCACATTTAAAGCAAGGAGGTAGGTGCAGCTGCATGGAGGCATTTGTCAGAACTTGACTCTGTAATGAAGGCGACCGTAAATCGTAGGGCAAATTGCAGCCACCCCATGAGGTAACCCCAAATTACGAAAAACCCCCTTCATGTTTAGATAATTACAACAACTCCTTTAGGTATGTATTGTCTTATGAAAAAACCCCTCATTCGGTAGGTAAGTTTGATATTGTAAGGTGGATGTGTAAGACTAAACATAGTTGAGGGGTGGTTGTAATTACCCAAATAAGAGGGGGTTTACGTAATTTGAGCATACCTTAGGGGTTGCCGTAATTTGCCCTAAATTGTAATAGGGTTGGTATTTATGTAAGTGTTTATATGACAATGGTGCCCTCACTTTGGAAGAGACGAAAGATATTCGACTGGATTGTAATACAAAACATATACTTGTTTTTAGCAACTGCATTTTGTGTTCATGATTTTTTGCATTTTTTCGAAGTAGTTGAACCATTTTGTTTTCATGGTAGTTGCACATTTGAATAAGCAGTTTTTTCTGCATATATTAATGAATAGCACCAAAAATATAAATGAAAAAGGATAAATAACATATAGATCATTAACATTAGATAGTACTCCCTCCATCCCACAATAACCGTCACTTTATAGAAATATATTTATTTCGTATTATATGTCACTTTAGAGTTCGAATACTGCATCAAATTCATTTTGTTTTCCCCGTTTTACCCATATTTATTCAATTCTAATATTAATTCTCATTCTTTGTATCGTTCCATCATAAACTGGTCGATGTTATTTTAGTCTTTTTAATGCATTTTTTCTTAAAATCGAGAAACATTTATTGAAATTCTTAATATTTGTGTAAAGCTAAAAAACGACTATTATTTAGGAATCGAGGGAGTACATCACTATTAAAATATGGTCATCTAAAAATAAATAAATAAACTCATGTCTTTTTTATGGGAAACAATCGATTAATTGGAGAAATCTGTTCCTCCAACATGTTAAAATCATTTTGTAGGCATAAATTTAAAACATGGCATATACACACAATTTGATTACAGTTTTACCCTAAAAAAACTATTCACAATTAAACAAAAAATATTTTAGTCAAAAAAAAAAAAAAAAAACAACAAAAAATATTTCCAACAAGTTAAATTTACAATTTTACCCCCATAATAATCGTATTTGGGCCCATTGACGCATAGGGTCCAAAACTATAACTGCCGCCGAAAGTGGGGGAAAAAGAAGAAATCCTCAAAATTTAAAATCAAACGTCACGTGCCGTGTATCAATCTCGACCGTAAATCTTCATCTATCCAACGGCTGAAGATTTCGATCCGCATCATTCCAAATTGACCAATCACAAGCCACCTCAAATCTATATAAACGCTGCTCGAGTACAATTTCTCTCATCACGAAAAATCCTCAAAATTCCCCCCACCCTTCACTCTCACATCACAACCGATTTATCGAGAAAAAATGGCACCCACGAAAGGAGAGAAGAAGCCCGCCGCCGAGAAATCGCCGACGGAGACGAAGCCCAAGGCCGGGAAGAAGCTCCCCAAGGACGGCGGCGCCGCCGTCGCCGGAGACAAGAAGAAGAAGCGCGTGAAGAAGAGCGTCGAGACGTACAAGATCTACATCTTCAAAGTGCTCAAGCAGGTCCACCCAGACATCGGGATCTCGAGCAAGGCCATGGGGATAATGAACAGCTTCATCAACGATATTTTCGAGAAGCTGGCTCAGGAATCGGCTCGGCTGGCTCGGTACAACAAGAAGCCGACCATCACTTCTCGCGAGATCCAGACCGCCGTGAGGCTGGTGTTGCCCGGCGAGTTGGCCAAACACGCCGTTTCGGAAGGAACAAAGGCGGTTACCAAATTCACCAGCTCCTAATTCCCCCCCGTTCCTAGGGTTTCGTTTCGGTTCATTTCATTTCGTTTTATTTCCCTTTAATTGATGATTTTGCCATCGTTAATTTTAATTGGTTGAAATTTTGCTTGATTTTCTGATTGTATAAAAAAAAATTGGTTTTATAAGATTCTTCTAATTGGAGATTTTGAAGTTGATCGGTATCGAATATATCTGCATTTCTTTTCATATATGTTTACGAATTTTATTTATTTTTGTCTAAGTTTATATGTCGAACGATACGATCTCGCATGCATTTGACTTGTCGACATTGATTAAATTCTCGATTTTTGGAATTTGTGTGAACATTTTGTTGCCTGCATGTTAAATATGTCGAATTACATGATGCAAAATCGAAAAAATGGCACAGTTAAGCTTTTCGGGTTTTCGGTTTGATTTAATCATATTGACAGTACAAGTTCGACTTTGCGGTTCGATTTGAAGTTGTTGTGTCGTGTCATTTTTTTGTTTCGATATCAAATTTGGTTAGGTAGTGAACTTTATTATGTCCGCCACTGAAATGCCTATTTATACGGAAGCAGATTATATATTCGTTATTTTCGATAGCATTACCGGTTTTTGCTGGAAGCATGTAAGAATTTTTTGGTTTGTGTTACTTCGATTTGTAATCCTTAGAAATTTTATTGTCGAGACATCTCTTTTTATATGTTTCGACAGGGTAATAGAGTTTAAGAACTCAGTTTGAGGTAAATATGCTCCTACATGATTTCAATTGTACTATTGGGAACTTGTCTTTTTTTCAACGACTCGAATATTACACAAGTGTGTTTATTCCGTTGGTATACAGTCGTCTTTTGTTTGATATTATTTTTGTTTCTTTTTGTGGTTAATAGTAACTAGACTGATTCTTTTCTTTTCCTCGAAGATTGGCAAGTTCGTCGTCTCTGTTTTTAGCCGGCTTTCGTTGATTTAGGCCCTCGTTATCAAACACATATCCGTGCATAATGTTCGAATTTGTTTGAAGTTTTATACAACTTTAGAAGTTTGATTTGATTATTGGTTGAGTCGAGCTGGGATGAGTTTTGATCAGAATGAACACGAATTGAGTAGTTCGATCTGTAATACGTACACAGATTGATATGGAGCCAAGTTTTATATCTTTTCGAATAAAAATGTAGGTGACGAAACCCTTTCATGCATTTTTTCAAAAACTACGTCTTTTTATTTATTTATCAGCATAAACTCCTATGTATTTCATCGTTTAGTTCACTGCTGTAGAACTCATTCTGCTAACTCAACAAATAAAAATGGAGGTTAAATAAATTTTACATCCACGGACTATGCTTGGTGCATCAAATATCCAATGTGATGGGGTCAGTTCAGCAGCATTGGACCCGGATCCTCCCATACCTAAAATTATTGGGCCAAGGCCCAATGAACGGTTAGAATTAAGCATGTTAGCGGGCCCGTTAATGTTCATCGGATCGCACTAAATGAGGAATAACAGGTGGTAGATGGCGAACCCGTAGATAGCCGTTGGAGAAGAAGATCACGGGGTGATTTTATTTAAATTGGATGTCATACATATCCACCCTTTTCTCATTAAGAAAACATCAATACCCGTAATCATATTAAAGTTTAGCGAATCAATGGACTGAAGAAGAATACCTATGCATCGCGAGATCCAACAACTGCAGGAACAAAGGAATCGTCCAATTCCACCAGACTCCATCACTTCGTTCGACCAATTCAATGTTGTGTTTTTGCGGGATTTCTATAGTTCGTGCAAACAACAAAAAACTAATACGACACTTTTTAATCTTAAGCAAAAGGGGGGAGAAACTTCACGCAGCTATGTAAAGCGGTTCGGGGTAAAATTGTTGGAAATACCGACATCCCAGTCAAATATATTAGTGGTGGCCTTCGTTCAAGGACTCCGGGAAGGAGAATTCTTCAAATCTCTCGCAAAGCGTAACGCGTCCAGTTTGATAAATGATGGTGCGGGATCTACACCCTCAAGACCTCTTTCCAAGCCCAACTGCCTTGACCGTCGGAACAACGCCGTTTTTTTGCCGTAGAAGATGAACTCGACGAACGGAAAATTTAAATCTAAAGAGAGAGTTTGCAAGAGAGTATAAAAATGTTCTTATTGATGTTAAATTGTATCCATAATCGAATTTGTTACAAGACTTTATATAGGAAAATCTCCCTAATTGCTTCCTAGTTTAACTCGCCTTAATTAGGTCGAGGTTTACATTGATTGATTGATCCATTACCAATACTAATTTACGTACTTTCATTATCTATTTTGGAAAAATATTCCGAGTCTTTTGTTTCTAATAGCTCTCGTTCAACTCGCCACCTACCCTTTTGATTTGTCTCTGACGAGCTCGTTAACCGCGAGCTTCTTAAAGGACCTTATTTTTACGTGTATTGGGTTGGTGGGCCGAACAAATTTCTTTCGGCCCATATATTTTATCCTTATACTATTTAATAAGCCCAATATGGATAATTTGGCCCAAACTTGCCAAACTGATCTCCATCATCTACTTCTCTCTATTCTTAAGTGAACCGAACTTCTCTCTATTATTAAGTGAACCGAACAAAGTGGTTCGCTCGGTGGATTTTCCAACGATCAAGAGAGTTGGACTTGGAAAGAGATTTTGAGGATATAGATCCTGCACCATCAATAAATTAATTATTATTTTCAAAAGCATCGCCACTTTTCTAAACTTTTGTTATCTACCTAAATAATCCATCCCACAATTATCAACTTTTGCATGACTAAAGTTAATAGAAGTTAATCCATCTTAATTTTATGTATTTAAGCCTTAATAAAAATCTACATGAGATCGCATTGGCTGAAACAAAGATGGTCAATTTTGGTATGAAAAGTGGCTCAAAATTCTTTTATAATAGCTATTATAATATCATACCACATAACTTTTTTTTTTAAATGGTGTATCAATAATAAATTTTTATAGGGTTAATAGCATTTTGCCACCTGTACTTTGCCCGTTTTTGCGCTTTGCCACCTTAACTAAAAAAAGTTGCACGGGCACACCCAAACTCCTTTTTTTGACGCATATAACCACCTAAGGGGAATATTCTGGCGAATCTTCTCATTTTTCCGGCGCACGTGCGATGCACATGCTTAATGTGAGGACTTTTTAGTCTTTTAATATGAAGATATCATGTGGGGTCTTCTTCTTCCATGGGAGTGGGTCTTCTTCTATGGGAGTTTCTCCCCATTAATATTTTTCAAAGAAACCCTTTCCAATGCTTCGAATGCTCCATATGATATCTTCAGATTAAAAGACAAAAAAATCCATGTATTTAGTCATGTGCATCGCACGTGTGCCGGAATCTTTCAAGATTCGCCGGAATATTCCCCCTAGGTGGTTATGTGCGTCAAAAAAATGAGTTTGGGTGTGCCCGTGCAACTTTTTTTAGTTAAGGTGGCAAAACGCAAAAACGGGCAAAGTACATGTGTCAAAATGCTATTAACCCATTTTTATAACACTCAAAGTTAGATAATAATAATAATAATAATAATAATAATAATAATAATAATAATAATAATAATAATAATAATAATAATAATAATAATAATAATAATAATAATAATAATAATAATAATAATAATAATAATAATAATAATAATAATAATAATTATAATAATAATAATAATAGTAATAGTAATAATAATAATAATAATAATAATAATAATAATAATAATAATAATAATAATAATAATAATAAAGTTAGCTATATCAATACAAATTTAGTGATACGAGCTATATATGAATATTTTTTTGGTATTGATATAGCACATATAATTGATTTTACTGAATTAAAAGTAAATATTTTAGAGCAAGAATAGTAATTAATAAATGAAATGCACATATTAAATTGAAAAAAAAAATGCTATTTTAATTAATTAAAATATGTACTAGATTTGTTTCTGCGGGCGCCAAAATGAAATTATTGAAACAGTTTCAAAACCCGGAACTCAAATCCATATCGTCTAAAAGGGCAAAATGAGATCCAATCTCCACCGCTCAATCAAAAAACCCTAATCAACGGACGAAATCCTTTATCCGCGCACTCAAACTTAAACCAATCACCTCTTATTCCAAACTCAATATAAACTCCACCTCCCTCACCGCCTAAAATCCACCAATTCATCACTCATCCAAAATTCCCCAATTTCCTCAACCTAAAGCAACCTTTACTTTCTCTCTCTAGAAATGGCACCAAAGGCAGATAAGAAGCCACCGGAGAAGAAGCCCGCGGCCGAGAAAGCGCCGGCGGCGGAGAAGTCTCCGGCGGAGAAGAAGCCCAAGGCCGGGAAGAAGCTACCGAAGGACGCCGGCGGCGCCGCCGCCGGAGAGAAGAAGAAGAAGCGGACGAAGAAGAGCGTGGAGACGTACAAGATCTACATCTTCAAGGTGCTGAAGCAGGTCCACCCTGACATCGGCGTTTCCAGCAAAGCCATGGGAATAATGAACAGCTTCATCAACGATATTTTCGAGAAATTGGCGCAGGAGGCGGCGCGTCTGGCGAGGTACAACAAGAAGCCGACCATCACTTCCCGTGAAATTCAGACCGCCGTGAGACTGGTGCTCCCCGGCGAGTTGGCGAAGCACGCCGTCTCTGAAGGAACCAAGGCCGTCACCAAATTCACCAGTTCTTAAATTGCTTTTTTTTTTTTTTTTTGTAGATCTGAAATTAGGGTTTATGATTTTATTTTATTTTTGGTACTTTTTTGATTTACCCGTGGATGTAAAAAAATTATGCTGATTTACTTGTTTTGAATCAAATCATTGGTAGTTTTTCTTAATTTTCTGAAATTTTGTTATCTGCAATTTAAATCTCATATTTAATTAATATCTTTTAAATTAAGTAAAATGTATTGAAAATTTGATTTAATATAATTGACATTGCTTATATAAAAAATAGTTAAATACAAATACATTTATAATTTCATAAATAATATTCGCCTACAAATAATAATAAAAAGACTCATTTTCACTTCAGTTCTTAAACATATTCTCGCTATTTTTTGTGGACCAAAGATAAAATAATATTCTAATTTATTTCCTTTCCAAACAAATAAAAAATAAATATTTTTTTTTGAAAAATTCCCCAACATCTTCAAATTTATAAATATGGTAAATTTTCTGAAAATTTCAAAAGAATTTGTGGTTTTTCAAATTACACTCGAAATTTTAGATACCGGGAACATATATAATCGAAATTGGAAGTCATTTTTCGAGGTTCCCAATTTTCATCTGTTTTATCCGATTTTCTCCGAACATACAATAATTAAAAAAATTATAAAGAAAGTCTTAACCAATGTTATGAAAACCGGACCGGACATCGAACTGGACAGATGACTGGGTCACGGTTAGACCGGTCCAACCGGGTTTTTGGCTTTTTTATTTTTTATTAATTTTAATAATTTAAAATTACTTTATTATATATATTTTATATTTTCAGCAGTTTTTTTGTTTTACTTACCCTACTACACTCCACACTTTTTTACATATATATTTGTCTCACCAGATTAACTTTTTACTTTTTTTAGTTTTTTAGTTTCTCTCTCCTCTCTCATTTCTTCATCTTCCCCGTCAATCCCTCATTTTCTTTCTCTTTCTCTTTCCGTTTATTTTTTTTTTAATTTAATTTTAATTTAATTAATTTTAATTTATTTTGAATTAAAAACCCCTTCTCCAAGACACTCACCTCACTAAAAACCCTTCTCATTTCTCTCTCTTAGGTTCCATTTTCATTTTCTTTTGCAGACTCAGTTTCAAGCACTTTCTCTCTCTAAGGTACGGGAATAAACTTCTCTCTCTTCTTCAATTGTTCTCATTTCCTTTTTTTCCCTTCCGATTGTGTTTTTTGTTGAATTTTTTTTTTTTTTTTTTTTTTTTTTTTTTTTTTTTTCCTTTCACGTTTGTAGATAGAGTAGCATCTCTGCCATTTGCGATTGTCCTACGATTTTTCAGAGCTTTCATTTTTAGTTGAGATGATCTTCTTAAACACGAATTATTCTCTGATGATTTCCGTTTTTTTATAATTTTTTTATAATTTTTTTTTCATGGTATAATTGCTGAAAATACTATTTCATTATTTCTTCTTCTTCTCCTTATATGTGTTAGATGTATTTGTTGATTCGGTGAAGTATTTTGTTCAATCGTTGAAGATTTTGAGATGTGTCGGTTAACGCTTCAAATTTCATGACAATGTTTATATATTTTACTGTGTATAGAAGCATGAAAGATGTGTTGGAGTCGCTATTATCTGTTTCGTATTTTTTCTTTTTTTTGACCTAATTATTAAATTGTGATTTTATTGTGTGCAGTGTTGTAGAAGATGAATCTGAACAAGGTGAAGATGCCAAAAATGCCCGGTGGGGGTGCAGCTTCTGCCTTAATCAAGCTGGGAGTTGTTGCAGGGCTTGGCATTTATGGAGTTGCTAACAGTCTCTACAATGTTGAAGGAGGCCACCGCGCCATTGTTTTCAACCGTATTGGGGGAATTAAAGATGAGGTTTCGTCTTCGTCTTGTTCTTTATATTGTGATTCATTTTTCGAATATATTATGCTTTCTTTATGATTTTATAATTATACTAGTGTATCCAACTAACTCCAAATAGTGTTTGTTGTTTCTGGAATAATTGGCATACGTGTTGGTAAAATCCGAGGGGGTTTTAAATCTCGGACTGTAGATGTGTTGTATTTTCATTTTCTGTTTGTGAAAGCCGTAAATTAAATATGAAATGCTGCACGATTACCGACTGATGAGAAAAATTACTTTGCGTATTGTTTTTTGTTCTTGCCCTAGTTGACCTGATATTTTAATTGATTTTCTGATGTGTTTGTTGCTCTGGCGACTCGTGTATTAGTTTCCGCAATTCAATTCTGAATATTGGTAATTAGTTGAATTTGAGGAAGAGTTAAAGCTCAATATATGTAGATCGGCAATTCAATTCTGAAGATTGGTAATTAGTTAAATTTGAAGAAGAGTTAAAGCTCTATATATGTAGATCGCTGTATTCTCGTTTTTTTCTTGTGTAACAACTAATCCTAAATTAAGTGTGAAGTGCTGCACAATTTCTTGCTGTTGAGGTTGTTGCTTGCTATTTGTTACGGTTGTTGCTTAATACAAATTCAGGTACTTCATTTCATTTAGGAGGAATTATATGCTGTTATGCGGTGTACTGTGTACGTCCTGCTAATGCACTAAGGCAGCAGCTTTGGTAGAAAATTCTCAAGGGCTGAAAATTGTTTTGACCTGCTCGATTTTTTCTACGATTTCCAGTTGATAGTTCGTAAACAACTTGACTGACTATTTATTACATGATTGAATGACATGTATAGAAACTGTAGTGTCACTTTCACTGGTATACACACTACACTTGTGCTCAAGTATGTACGTCTTTTCGAGATACGTTGACACGGTTTTTTTGTTCGTATATGCTGAATATGCAGGTGTATCCCGAAGGAACGCATTTTATGATCCCATGGTTTGAAAGGCCAGTCATTTATGATGTTCGTGCACGACCCCATTTGGTCGAGAGCACTTCAGGAAGTCGTGACCTTCAGATGGTAAATCTTACATCCCTCTCACTTTCTCGTAAGGGGCCTGTGTTAGCTAACGCCGAATGATGTCAACTCATAAAGAGTTCGATATCTTCTGGTTTTTTTCTTTGAATTTTTTTACGATATTTTCTCGTAAGGGGTCTTTTTTTTTTTGTTTTTGGTTTTTTATTTTTTTTATTTTTTAATACGCCTTCTTTTTGTCCTTTGTATCTGATTCCAGACATGTTTGCCATTTTTGCTCAAAATAATTTTGTTTGTCTTCATGCTCTGCTGTAAGCTTGACAACGAAATTTTCTAATTAATTGATTTTTGCAGGTAAAAATTGGTCTTCGGGTTCTCACTCGTCCTATTCCGGACCAGTTGCCAACTGTTTATAGAACTCTTGGTGAAAATTACAACGAGAGAGTACTGCCTTCTATTATTCACGAGACTCTCAAAGCTGTGGTCGCCCAGTTCAACGCTAGCCAACTTCTCACCCAGAGAGAGGTACGTTTGGAACGCATTGAAACGTTTTTTTTGGAAGCATTTATCTGTACATGTATGCATTGTTTATGCAGTTGTTACATTTCCAACATGTTAAATACATTTTTGCTCTCTGAGTAATTTATTTTTATTTGAGGTGGATCTTGAATTTCACCATACTTGAGCATACATGAATGTTTGGTTTGGATATATGTTGATCGTTATAGAATGAGGACCTGACAAATGATTTCACCTTGTAACTAAATAAAGTTTGGTCTAAAGAATGTCGAGTAAGAAATTATGTGTCGACTGCACAAGAATACATACACGCAAAGTTCATATGTGACAAGTGCTGATTAAAGAAGTGCACTTACGGGTCATATGACATGATTTGGACTTATTGAATGATTAGTCGAATGCATCAGTTAGGACAACGGCACTAGCTTTCTTGAAGTCAGGTTGAATGGAAATTAAATGTTTAATATACTTCACCTTGATAATTCACATATTGTTCAAAGGAGTTTAATAGTTTATTTAGGTTGAAATATCATTGACCACTATTTTTTCTTGATACAGAATGTGAGTAGGGAAATACGGAAAATACTCACAGAAAGAGCTGCCTCCTTCAACATTGCATTGGATGACGTGTCAATCACCAGCTTGACCTTCGGTAGGGAATTCACCGCTGCAATTGAAGCCAAACAGGTGGCGGCACAAGAAGCTGAGAGGGCCAAGTTTGTGGTCGAAAAGGCTGAGCAAGACAAACAAAGTGCCATAATTAGAGCACAGGTACAATAACTAGTGCGTATTTGTTATTTTTTTTTTCGATTTATCATTTCATCTTTATAAACTTATGGTCGATTTTACTCGACTGAATTCAATAATTTTTTGATATTTTTTTTTTTGGCCACTAGGGAGAGGCTAAGAGTGCACAGTTGATCGGTGAAGCAATTGCGAACAATCCAGCATTTATCACACTTAGGAAAATCGAAGCATCCAAGGACATTGCACACATTCTTGCAGCTTCAACCAACAAGGTGTACCTCAAGTCCGACGAGTTGCTGCTGAACCTTCACGATCTCACCTCCTTGGCAGCTCAGAAGTAGTAAATGGCTAAATTGCCCTCCATATTGGATCGTTGACTTTTCCTTATTGAAATCTTAATTTTGACTTTTGGCCGTTTTGAGTAATTAGTGACATAAAAAACGGTATTTCTCTGTTTCTCCCCCCCACCTCGGAAATAGAGGAATTCGACATTGCATCGTAGACTAAATTTAGTATTTGTTTTCTGATGATGTTTTTTTTTGTTTGGTGGAACAAAAGTTAACATTTGATATTTCTGCTTGTTCTTGAGTTCAACTTTACGCCTTATTATGATTCGAGGTTATTAATTAATTGAGTATTAATTTGTCGAGGTGTTACTCTAGTACAATTGTTTTTTCGTTACAATTTCCTTTTCGTTCCAGCTTTACTGAATTGTTTGGCTAAAATATTCTCGTGTATGTGTTACGTATCAGAAAATAAAATAAAAGTAAGAAACATGACTAAAAATATTTGTCGCTTAAAATTTCGGCACACGTATTAAGAAAACTATTTATATGTATTGATTACATGAAAAAATGTATAATAAGACTAAAATACCCCAGCAACTAATTCTCTTGTTATTGGTTATTATCTTCACTTCTGAGAATTAATCTTTGAATTTGGACAAATATGGACGAAAGAAGATTAATGCAACACTTGTATATACTAAAATAAAAGATAATATTAATTGGAACACAAAATATTCCCTAATCTTATATATAAAAGAAAGAAACGGTGGGTAATCCTAGAAAAACCCTAATGGTAGTTTTGTAATTATTTAGTTTTAATTTTTTTAATACTACTAATTCTTAACTATAATTTTTAGCAATTATCAAAATTGAAACTAACCCGTGAAGAATTCTACCATAATGGTACTTCTGTAATTATTTATTTTTAATATTTTTCTCTACTAATTTTCTAACTATAATTCTCGACAATTATTAATCTCATGTTTTTTCATCAATATATCTCAAATATAAGAAATGATTAAATTGATATTTTTTCACTTTTGAAATAATATCCCGTGCATCGCACGGGGAAAAATGCTAGTAAATAATCCATGCCTAATTGATTGACATTTGTCAATTTCAAATGATGACATGTCCTTAATTTCGTCATATGTGTCCATTTGATTGGTTGAGAAAATTAATCAAAAAATATGTCATCATTTGTATAATTGTACATGTCATTAATTATAATTATTAACTTTATATATAATATTAATTTTTATATATAGAAATTACCAATCAAATCATGCATATTACATTTAACAAATCAACACTAATTTTAATTTCACACCTATCATATCAAATCATGCGTATGTTATATATATATATATATATATATATATATATATATATATATATATATATATATATATATATATATATATATATATATATATATATATATATATATATATATATATATATATATATATATATATATATATATATATATATATATATATATATATATATATATATATATAAAAATAT